TTTTTCCAATACAGCATGTACTGGGTCACAATGTAGTAAAATTCGCAGTAAATCCCAACGTCACGGTAAAGTGCACCACCGGGCACTAGCAGAGGAAAAAGAAACGCAAGAAATGCACATTTCTCCGCCTAAGGTGGAAAGACAAGCCTGTGATTAGTCAGGAGTGGCGCGAAGATCGCCGATAGAAATTGTTGTATAGACAATTTCTACTGTATAGAAAAGTAGTAGACGGTCACAATTCTTCGATTATTCAATCTATCACGCAGCACGCGATTAAGGTAGAAGCACTAAACTAACATGAAATTACTCGCCCAGAAGACATGCAACTGTTCTCCCAGAAAATATTTGCGCCACTCGCGGACAAACGAAAAGATCGCTGAATACATCAGATGAACTAAATTCATGAATTCATCGTTACGAATCGATCGGTTCCATACTGCAACCGGTTTAATCGCGTTCCTCCTTCCAGCCTTCGATGACCTTCCTCTCTTTGCTTAACGGTAACATTGATCGGCAATTTCGTCGGCGTTGTTCTCAGTTTCCCGTTTATGCAAATAGTCAACAGTATATAACTATCCAAACACAGCGGCACAGCATGCATGACAGGAATAGAAAAGTGTTGTACATGCGGATCACCTTTACTGACTTGCACGACGGCCACCGGTTTTTCACGCTATGTTCTTACGATACATCAATCGAGTATGCTTTTGCTATGAGCTGCATGATGACATGATTCAAGACATGCCGCATGATAAATGAGATGCCAGCCCTATCTGAAAATTGAACAGCAAACAACACGTAACTAAATTATTGCCGTTTCAAAATCGTGGTCTTTAACTAGCGAATCAAATTACCAGGAAACGTTTTCTCTTATGGAAAAACTAATTTTTTCTCCTGTTTTGTATTCTCCGTTTCAAACATGGAACATTTTATTGCAGTACGCAATACCGGCAGCAAGCTAAGAAAGTCGGATGTCACGAGGCGATGGCTCCGCTTCTGGATCGGAAAAGAATGACGAAAGCGTGCTCCCCATAATTCATGCGGTATATGTGCTATCCTGAAATCCAGTACCATGAAAAGCTTCTCAATTTAGTTGCGTAGAATGATAAAATCGAGCAGTGCATTCCAAAATCTCCTGACACGGACTTTTAATGGCGTACACTGCCTGGCGAGAGCATGTGTCGGGTCCCTAACACCAAGCAGACTGTAAAGGAAGAAATGCACAGTTTTCTTTGTTACAGATTCCGTAGCAAGTCGTGGGTGTATTAAGGCACATGGGTGTGTTGTACGACTACATGTCCGGAAAACGAATTTTTTTGCGGGAAACACTGTTTCATCGGGCGACATGCACTGGCTGATTGGGTGATGTAAACTTATCACATTAAATAAGAGGCGAGACTAAAGTACATACAGATACTACGGTACTTCTAGAAAACAACCAAGCTTATCGGAGCTGGAGGGAGTGATCTATGGCTGCACAATAAAATACACTACTCTGTATAGTACAGGTACCTAAACCGGGCTGTTTTCTTGTACATACTGTACGAGCCGATACTAATGAGTACTGACTACTCCACCACAAGCTGCATTATTAATAATGCAGCTTATCGTTTTCCTACGTCGTTTTCCTAACGGACTACCGTAACCAACCACTGTAACAGGCATATGTAGCACATAACGGCAATCCCGGAGCAATACGGCGACGAAATAGCGATACATAACAATGCGCTATGTTCGTACTTTCCATACGGTATCCTTACAGAACTTACTTGATCCCAGCAGTTGTAGTCTACAGGCATAGCAGTAACTGCCTTGAGTACTAGTAATCGTATATTTTATTATGTATGACATTACGTACGAACGTAATGTCATATAAAACGTTCGTTCTCAACATCCGTATGGTACACATAACTAACCAGGTATGGTAAGAGTGGTATACGCGATAATGATAATGAGCATTTACTCTGAATCAATTTCATGATCACATTGTCGAATCGTCGAACGTTCCGTCTCTAAAACTAAAGATGCAAAAAGGTGCAGAAGTGAAGTGATTTATTAACACTGCTGAAAGATGCACACGTTGCACAGCGCAAACATAGGAATGGTAATAATGGGCTTGTTTAATGCAACATTGACAGTCCCATGGTCATCACCCTTATGGCATAGGTCACTTTCGCAATCCTGAGTCGTTGAAGTTTTTCGTTTTCCTAACTGAAACGGGTATGGAATTTAGCGTTTCTCGGCCTAGCTTGCAGCGATGAAGTGCATCAGGGGATTGAATACAGAATATGAACACATCGGTGTCATGCTACCACAATTTTGGTCGCGCTGTTTCTTGCGATCGATGATCGCCGTTCTCTTCTTGGTGATGATACCGAGAGAGCTCATGAACGAATTCCATTTGCGTTAAGCTCTCACTTTCAGTTTGAACAAATAGTTTACATAATTATTGACACAGGATCGCAATGGAGGGTGGCCAACTTGCCAAGTGGTTTGGACGTTGTCATTGTATACTTTTCGATGTTGCCATGTGCACAAAACGCACTGGGACGTTGGTGCAACCAGGAACGTAATCAACTTATTAAGAAATCCATTACTGAAATGATCGTCACGTATTTGTTGTTGTTTATGGCATTGTTTATTGTGCCGGAAAATATTGAAACGCCACTGTAAATTGTACAACATTAAACGGATAATATGTGCAGTTTCATATCGCGCCCTAGCGAGTTCTATGCCGCTGCAGCTCATCGCGATCACACTATCTTTCGCCTGGAGTCCCTAGCACTGTATCGTGAAGCATCTCATGTGTACAAGTCCGCAGTCGATGTGTCGATAGATTTTGCGATAGTATATTTCAAAAACTGTTGCTGGTGTCACGTGGTGATGGAGGTTGAAACTTGAACGCAGGCTGAAATCTGAGATACTGGCATTTTTGGTTATCTCTTGTTCCTCATTTTCAGTATCACGTAGCGTAAACAGGTTCTATTGGCTTATGCTAAAATATTATTGGATCCTTTTGGATATTGGACCGCGTACCCGCGATGGATCTCCATACTTCGCTGGGGCATCCCGATATACCATTATATAAAAGCAAAGAATGCGCCTGATGCCCTGTTATTCCAGCCGCTAGGATCGAATAACGGTTATTGCGAGCAAGTTCATAACGTTATGACCTACTCCCAATACCCTTTATTTCATTAACGGAGCACATACAGGCGAAAGTTAAACTGTGATGTCACCGGGAGAACGAGTGGGTCACGGGCAACCGGGCACAAGAAAATTATTAAAAGAGATGGGCAGGAGCGATGTGCATGTATTTCAGGTGCAACCTTTCAGCGGATGAACTCCGTATAAGAAACTAAATCGGGATAAATTTCTGGAGATAGGTTGTCAGCGGCCGGCCGCATTTGAATCAGTTCTGTGTTACGGTCTGCATTACCTCTCGTCCACACTCAACAGCGCACACACCGGTCGTAACGGTACCAACTAATGCATTTTTTTTAGTACTCGTCGAAATCTAATCGGTAAATCTACTCTAATTGTTGCTACATGCTGCTGAGCCTTTTATCGTGTTATCCGATGACAAGTTGTGCGAATGTCGAAACTGCTTTTCTACAGTTTCGCGATGAAGAAAATTTTCAGGATATTCAGCTACAGTGCCGTCACGACAAAACACGGTGCTGGATGATTGAGAATCGGGAAAATGATTCAGAATCATGGATTTCAGTTTAATGATTGTCAATTAATGATTTACTGCTGGATACTCCCGCGATGACGAAGGCAGCAGAGTCTGGTGCCCTTGCAAAGTCAGCACCGGAAGCTGGCATTTGGTTGTATTCCTCTCCCCAGCCACACTTTTTTGATGACTGATACGGTCAAGATATCAGTCGGCCAGCGACTGGGCGCAACCATCTGTGAGCCACATCCGTGTGCAAAGTGCCAAAAGCCTGATGATGCGTATGGCCATCACGGTTTGTTGTGTCCTTTTTCCGCTGGACGACATCCCCGCCATGACGGCCTGAACAGTATAGTGTGCCGAGTCGAGTCCCGACCGTTAGTATCCACAGGCATCCTGCAAAATCCCATACTTCAGGCCATCGTCTGGATGGGTGCACCACTTTTGCTTGGAAGCGCGGTCTGTGCTTGGCCTGAGACTTTAGCAGTGTGGACACTCTTGCTCTGTCCCACCGGAAATTCAAGTTAGTTTCTTGCGTGATCCGCCGCCGCGCAAGTGGAGGATGAAAAGGCCCGACTGTATTCGTAGGTCCGCTACCAATAACTGCAACATGCCCACATCTAATGCACCAGCGCAGCATCACGAATCATCAAAATAAATCGGGTTTAACTAACACTAAATTCAGTCATGTATAATTAACAAAATGTGTACCAATGCCCAGGTATTAACAACAACAGGACTCAACAAAAGCAACACTACCAACTGGCGCGCTCCCATACCCAATATTCCCTATGTATGTGGCGCATTACACTGTACGACTGAAGTTGCACATATATAGGGGGCAAAACTAGGCATCCTCCACAGTCCCCCTGTACTGCTGCCGTCACCCGACTGGGGTTTGACGTTGTGGCTGAACATGGCGCTTACGTACCGCGTCAGATTTAACTATATGTACTGCCGTAACGTCACACCAGGCAGCAGTACAGGGGAACGGTGGAAGGCGCCTAAATTTGCCCCTTATATTGATCAGCGATTTGAACTAGGTATGGGTCAGAACAACCAACGCGGGACCATTTCGTGTTACACTGCAAATATGTTGAACCCAACAGACAACACTGCTTCCGCTTTAATATGCCGTTTCACCTTAGCTTTGATTAAGGGATATGAATAATGTGTTTAGGGCGCGGTATACCATAGTAGTACCACTAGCAGATTTCTCTGCCAGCGCAGGCCAGGGTACGCATAATGTTTACCACGGAACAAACAAACCTTGAAGCATAGCCTAATTAATCTGAATTTGATTTACGTATCACACAGACCAGACCAGCCACACGGCACGTATTGATTATTAATGCAAGGAAAACCACAAAACAGGTTAATAACAATACGAAAATAACGTGCCAGGCACATTAGTGACACCTTGACAAGCGCGTTTTGCCGGGACCTGCTAAAAAGATTGGATATAGCTGTATGGCTGAGGTTATTGAAACACAAACCAAACGAAATATATAATTAGGATATTAAAGACAAACAGGGAGAAACTCAATGTCTATATTCTGATTATTCATTAACATAATCGATATTCGTGTTCGCTTTTTTCGATTGTACGTCTTCGCAAGCCGGTTGGGAACAGTGTGTATCTATAGGTGTCAGTGGAATGCGATTTTCTGCGGCCGTTTCCGTTTCCTTTTCTTCCTTTCGGCGACCGTTTGCTGGGGCTCAGCGGCCCTTTCCAAAGCATTTTCCATTTCAATAGTCGTATAAAAGCGTACGAGCGCCAGTATGACGTCGTACGAGATGCGTATAATCAGAAAATCTGCGGCAAGCGGAATTAGACCGTATGCACGCAGAATTTCTGCCGGCACAAGCTTTTCTTGGCTAAGGGTCATCCAGCCCAGGCCAGCTACAATCCACAACGCCTCCATTCTGGCCAGCGCTAGTAGGACAACATTCAGCAGAAGGACCCACAGGAACATGGCAGGCTGTGATGGTCCGAACAGGAATCGCCGGATGCCGAAGTGTCGAAGAATACCCGAGCAGAGTAGAATGATTGCAGCAATGAGCTCGAGGGCCCTGGACATCACAAAGCGGAGATCAGGCTGGCTGCCATAACCTACTGCAAATAAATTTGAACATTGTAGCCGGCGTTTCAAAGTGAAAATAGCGTAAAATACGGTATACGTTACAACTTATTAGTTTGCTACTCTTTTATAAATCTATCGGTTCCCTCTTAGTAACAATTAAATATTTCAACGTTAACACCACAGTAATTTTGGAAAGCTTCTGTTAACAAAGAAGACCATAAAGACAATACGAACTGTCTGGAACAGCCAGAAATAAAACCAATTTTGCTAGACTTGTCGTTATAAAAAAAATAAACGCTGAAAAATCGCACGGCTTTGTACAAATTAAGCTGCAAAATGAATAAAGAGACCGTCAGTTTCTTACGTGTTAACTTCCACACAGTGAAGCCGATTAAATAACATCCCAGTAAAATTTCCACAATGAATATGCAGAGGAGCTTCGAGATTTCCAGCACAGTCAGCCATTTTCCCTCCATAACGAGCCTTATCGAAAACCAAAACTTGGTATACGGGTGAGCTGCCGAAGAGCGTGTCTGTCAAAACTGCTGAAGAATTTTTCCCGTCAGAACTGCTTTTTTAACGAACCCTGAGTGCGCTTGTAGTGCGATAAAAGCTGGCCTCCGTGCTGGATTTCGTCAATAAAACCTTATGCGAGCAGCACTAACGCCATTACTGATAGCACTATTTACGGTACTGCTATGCAATGTGGCTGCTATTTCCGCTATCTGACGGCGTTTGGCATTTCGGCAGCCTTTCCGGTTAACCGCATGTTCTGTGAAAACGGTACGGGAAAAAGAAGAATGGAAAAGTAATGGAAAAGAAGCTGGAAAGAAGCCTGCACGATAAGAATGAGACGAGCATCTCGGAACCGATTTTGTAGAACAACTTTATTTCAGGCAGAAATATTACGATTATGTGCTTCCACCGTGAAACTGGCCAGATGATAGTTGTTTTTCGTATGCACTATACATAAACTGTTTATATTGCTTACGGTAGTTCGGCAGTAAAATTCCGGTATCTACACTTTGCTAGTGCTGACTTTTACTGCTTTTCGGGCAGCCACACAGTTCACTGTAAAATGTAGCCATTAATGGAGAGAAAACACTAATTTTATGGTTAGTTACGTCATAATATTTCCTGGCGGCGATTATTGAACTTTATACACGAGCGTGGACACATGGGCAAAGTTTTCAGCGTTGGATGTATGAGTGGCAGCAATCAACGGAAACACTAACATTCACCGTATGGAACTTGCCTTGTACCAGCTGTAAGCGTTTGCACAGAACTACATCATATGATTTTAATAATAAAACTTGATTATAATATGACATCTAACTTTATAAAATATGCGTACCGTTTTGGAACAGAAAACGAACCTTTAAGGTATTAAGACTGCAATAACTACTACTGAAATACTTGAAATTTTAAGAAGTTTTATTAAATCAAAATACGAAACTTGATTTCACTGAATAAAAACTGCAATAATTATAGAATATTAGTTTTATAAACCGCAAACTAGCGTACAAGACATTTCAGTGCAACACTATATAAGCGGGGCAAGCAATAGAGGTCAAAAACTAATCAGGTAAAATTCTGATTTCTTGCATAATCAATAATATTGAAGGCAGCTTAAGCAATGTGGAATTCTTTTGGTGGTACCCGTTTCAGTCTTTATGGGCATAGCATTTATGACAAACAGCACAACAATTACGGTTGCTTATTCGTATGCCCGGCGGCGGTTTCATCCGTTGTCACGGCCCGTGTGTATGGAGGAAATGCGTTGGGGGCTAGATGATCGCGGATCATTATATCCTCCTGGTACTCATCGACGACATCGTCGAGGTAGTTTACGGTTTTGCATACAGCAAGGAACGCAAATCCTGCAACTAGAAGGTCGGTGATAACCGGGAATATTAAGTACATCCACATATCCACTTGGCAAGACCATTCCATTTGACCGGAGATGACGCGGGTGAGGCCTTCCTGAAGGATGTACCCCACATCTTCCATGAAGAGCGTTAGCACGACAATGTTCAGGCCGGCCGGTGACAAGAATATGCTGGCATCGAAGGATGCGCGTGTTTGCCTAATGACGAACAGTCCCGCAGTGCCGGTGGCAAGCAGAACCGCGCTTCCGGCTAACTGGGGTATCACACGCGCCAGGAACAGAGAGCCTGGAACAACAGCTGCTATCAAGACAAACTACAATACATAATATTATATAAATGCGGTGTTTAGCAATTACGTACATAGCACCTCTAATCTTCTGATCGAAATCTGCTGCACCGTGTGAATTCAGTGGCGGTACGATTCATGGAATAATTACAACAGTTGTCATACGCGTTACCAAGTTCGGGAAAAACAACATATTGCCGTTCAAAGGTGCTAAATAGGGAATTCTTAATAATTCGATTAGCTGCAAAACGTTGCTCGTTTCAGTTATGAACAGCGCTTTTGTTATACCCTTAGTGCATAGCTGTATGAAGTTGTCGACTGTGCTCATATGTACTAAAAAAAGTCAAATATGACAGTAGCACATTGTGTTAACATGCATCTTTCAAAATGCAAACTTAAATTTCTCCACGAAACATTATTACATATACCTGTTTGCTACCAATATCTTACAATCATATTGCATTCCATGTAGAACCTACGTAGTATGCACAGTATCAAAATCTTCCATAGATACGTATCAATATTAAGCACTCGTATCGCGTGCGCGGTACGAACGTATATTTTGCATGTTGTATAAATCATACAATATAAAACGGCGAAATACTTTGCAGTTTCCCCATAATGTGAAATACGAAATAACAGTAAGTGAATTGATTTTACAACACTTATAAAGTTTCTGCAGTTTGACTGATTGTGAATTTCTTACCGTTAGCTTTCCAGAAATTATAGGTAATCGTCAGCAGCCCCAAGCAAATTTCCACAATAAAAATTTGAAACAACTGTCTCAATCGTAGGTTTAACCGTGGCACCTGCATGTTTGTTTACCTAATTCTTTTGAAGGTCGCTACCCGCCGATAACATTTCTAACGTTTAACGCCTATATAGCGTTGTTTAGTATATTTTCTACTCTGCGGAAAGACTTGGAATTTCAAATAAGTGGACCCCTCCGCGTTAATCACTACATCTATTGAAACAAACTTTGTACGGATGAATTATCATGATGAAAGTGAATTGCAAGCCGTTATTTGTAAAAGATATGCTGTACTCTGTATGTAAAACATACGGTGAAACGTAAATGCGATAAGCCCAACCTATCATGAAAGATACGGGTACTGGTAATGATTACATGCCGGGCATTTCATTGTTGTGCTGTCGCATGAATGCCTGGCACTGTTTTTTATTTGATTACACCTCCTTTGCATGGTGATTACAAAAACTAATGGCATGTACTATGCGGTGCTGTATAATTTGCACAAACTTGCATAAACTTGCATAATTTGCATAAACTACAGACAGTGACGAATGCGGGCACAACGGTTTTCCATCTTTTTCCTTGTCTGCTTCTTAACAAAGAGTGAGCTTGGATAAAATAGGTAGATCATTCTTGGAGTTCCATTGATGGAGCATGCACCAAATACGCTTAACGTAAAACAAATATTCCGTTTCTTTCTTTATTTGCACAAGTTTTATGCACTCCTCTCGGAGGCCTTTCGAAAATTTAGTGACCTAAGAACCCAAAAATTTAGTAAGTTTAATCGATATATACGACAGTTTTTACACATGGAAAGATATTTCTTACTTCCGGTAAAAACTTCAAATCTTAGCGTCGGTCAACGGCAGCAAAAACGCAAAAATTCTAATACAGTATTATTGAAGCCTGCTATCCGAATTCGAAGCAGGTCAAACGTAACAGGTGGAGTTTCTGATTAGATGATCAGTCAATTAAGGATTACGTGGAAATTTCGAAGATCTCTTGGTTTTAGATTTTAGTCTTCGTAGACATAGGGTGAACTGGCTATGAGCGACTGCCGATTACTGTTTTCGGTGACCGTTTCATACGCTGCCAAAGAACGCTGGTAGGGCTGCTCTGCATTGTCGACCAGACGATAGTGAACTAAAATATCGTCCTTGTACACTGAGGCGTGGCAGCGTAAAGAAATCCTCACAGCACGATACGCGAATCCCAGAATCAGAAGGCCAGTCGTAACCGGAAATACAAGGTACATCCAAAGATTCCAACCAGAATACCATCGCATTTCTCCTCCGTGGATACTAACGGTTACATCTGCTATGATCGCCAACACATCTTTGCTGGATATCACTAGCATGACGACGTTTAATAAGGCCGTCCAAAGGAACATGGTGGCACGGACTGATCCCGCGCGCGATCGCTTTACCACGACCTGTCCAAGGATTCCGGTGCTGAGTAGGACAAACATTTCGTTTAATTCGATTAGAAGCAGCGCCATGAGGCTAGCGTGATTGGAAATTCCTGGAATAGCGATGATATTGAATGTAAAGTGCAATGAACGGCAAATGCAGTTTCTGTCATCTTCCCTACATTTTAAGAAATTTTGAAATTTTTTTATTTTCCAAAAACGCCATGAATACTTCGGTAAATCTTACATATGGGCTCCCAACAAATTACAGTCGCACATCTGGGCTCCCCGATAAATAAAATAAAGCCGTTTTAAAAGCGGGCAGTCCACGTATTTGACTGTAATGTGTTGGAAGCCCATTACTATATACACTATACAGTATAAGATTTATCGAAGTAAGGATTTTGTTAAGCTTTCTCTTCACTGCGATGCGCTTTTAGCATAGAAGATTTTAAAAAGATTGTAACTAATATTGTAAGAAGGTCTTATAATAATCTAGCTTTTGGTGGACGACTATACGGTTAAACGTCTTGTCTATTTTACTTTGCCCTATTATTTTAGCAACAGAACTTGGCGCGCACAAAAGGTTTTCGAAAAATGCAAGAATACAAATATCTTTTTCTTATTGCGAGATAAAGCAATGCAAACTGTCTTTCTTATGCGCGAAAGTGAAGGTTTCATATAAGTATAATATGTACATATATGAAATCAGAAATACGTACAAGACTACAAGATAACCTTCTTTAATAAATCTGCAACTGCAGTTTGAAAACAAAACGATGATATGAGGTCTTTGACACGAATAAATTCGATTACCTTGCAGTAAATAGAAAGAATTACATATTAAAGAGTCACTATGACAAATTTTATAGGTACTGTCTTACTGTAACTCTTTTACCGATTAAATTCCAGGTAACCGCAGCAATTGTCATCAAGCCCAGCAATATTTCACCTATAGAGATCCAATACAACTGGCGCAGACCCGGCAGGATTAGCCATTTCTCCTCCATGCTCAGGAATGACAAAAGTTGTGGTACGTTTCAAGCGTTGTCGATAAAAGGAAGGGCTTTCGGAGTTTGACTGAATTTCTTCTGCATAAACTGTTTTGACAGAAATTAGGCATCTTCAGATTATTTATAATGAAAGTGGACTAGAAGGCTGCTGCATTCCACGACAGATGACTAACATGTAATCAGTCAAAATGAAACAATCAGGTCTTGCTGTAAAAGGTACGAGGACAGATATGAAAGTAAATGTACGCGAGGCAAAGGGTATTGTGTTTGTTATCACACCATGGCTTGAAAGGTATTGTTTTCTGTTTGATCACTCCTTTTTGCATGGTGATCGCAGTGACCTCTGGTACGTACTGCCGCCACTCATTCACAGAAAGACAGATACAGACAGTAGAAACTCCCACTGACTTCCATATGTATTGGCTTTTGCACCTGAGGGATTTTTTAAATCGAACACTTGGTTTGTTGCGGTTGATGGACAGAAAACAGGTCAGATATAATACTGTACCACGTGAAAATTTGATTTTCGGTTCCTTTCGCACATGTACAGACATTAAATTATGTATGGAAGCAGTAAAACTGGTTGTAGCCAAACGATTACTACAAGGATGTTATCATGTGGGAATGTGGCATTAGGTATTGTACCGAATTTCTTCCTTCGGGTGAAATATGTCTGTACATATGGCAAGTTACATAGCATTTCCTCACAAGCCGAGTAATAGTCGAACTCATAAATAATTCTAAAGCAACAGGGAATGTGGCCGTAATTTGGTAACGAAACTAAGTCAGTCTTGCTACAGCAGAAATTTTCGATATTCTCGAAGACTTCCCTTGGATTCCTCAGAAAACCGGTCGATATTCTTTTCGTTCTGGTGGTAGTTGAAATTTCGTCTGCACGGTATGTCCTAACCGTTTATAACGTCTTCGTAAGCCGGTGGTGGCCCGCATGAAACTGCCTGCGAAAGGCGCTCTTCAGCAGCCACCTCGTCCATTCCCCGTTCCTCTCCGAATTCCTCCTCTTCGTCGGCCATGGTGAAAGCTTTATCTACGCAAACAACCCTGTAACAGCGATTGCAGATCTTTATGGCGCGGTACGTGGTGCCCATGATCACCAAGCCGAGAACGATCGGAACAACATTATAAGTCCACATAAGTTCATCCAAGACAAATTCGTCACGGCGCAGAAATCTGCGGGTCTGCCAAACTACTTGGAAGAACACCGTAATGCTGGAGTGCGTCAGTACAATGACGTTTAGTAAAATTTCCCATAAGAACACGGTGGCTTGTGGAATCCCAGCGCGGGACCGGCGAATGGCGTGCTGTCCGGTGATACCCGTGCAGAGTAGGATTACGGCCGTGGTTACATCCACCGTCTTATACAGCATATATTCGAAATTTATCTGGTCGCCTGTACCTACAAAGTACATCATAGGAAATTTATGACGCCGGTATGTCACAGCAGACAAAGCTTGCGTGTATGCACGGATGCGAATAAAATGTAAACCATCGTGTATGGATTACGATCTCACTCATCTCAGTCAGACAATCACACGACAGCTACATCATACGCCAAAAATCTGGTACTATTAGGAAATACTTAAGTGTTTGTTTTGATGAGCTCTAACTGAACAAAAAATTGAAGTTCATGTAGAAAGAATTTAAAGCTTTTACATTTTCAAAACTTCGTAGATACTTATTGTCAAGAGAAGTAGAGAAGCCCGCTGTGAGAACCTAGTGGTCTTTTGAAACGCTACCATAATAAATTTCATACATAAAAATCTTAAAATGTTTATCTCAAAATGTTTAGAAAAATCTTAAAATGTTTAGCCCCAGCAGGCAGGATCTTCCGATATGACTAACAAACCTGAGAGTCTCTTACGTATTATATTCCACACTTCGAAGGCGCTCCAAATCAACCCCAATACAATTTCCACAATAGTAATCCAAAATAACTTACGGAGTGCTGAGGTAGCCAACCATTTTCCTTCCATGACAGTTTTTGTGGAGATCATAAAATTGATCTAACTAACTGGCAAATTGCCGGTAGGCAATCAACTTCGGAAATTTTTCTTTTCACCTGACTGAACAATGTATGCTGAAAGCGGTCCTCTACACCGGTTTGCGTCAACAGAAATTTGATAAACAACAAATAACGCCGTTAACGATAAGCCCATCCTATTACTAAGAAATCTGACCGCAGTCTTCGCTACCAGAGCATGTCTGCTAACCCATAGCATTTGCTATTTGATAACGTTATTTCTAAACGGCAAGCGCAGCAAATGTTGGGTTAAATCTGTTATCTGCGTACGTTTCCGTAATGAGCAGACTACGGCAGCCATTCTGCTAATCGGTTTTGTTTGCTTTTGCGTTCGCTGATAAGAGGTCATCTACAAACTATTTAAACAGTGCGCTAGCGGGTGTTTTTCGCGTGTAAAATCGTGCGTTTGAATAACCAAACTATGTACATACAGTACAATGGAGCAGGGTGTTGTGTTACAATTATTCGCCATGACCTTCGAAATACTTCCGGTTTACCGGCTTTCGGCGGCCAGTTTTACCGAGTAACTTAACGTGCAATCTAAACCAAATCTAATCCAAACAATCTCGTTTTTAGTTCCGAGTTATAGGTTTCAATTCCTAACATCTAACCTAGGATATTCTCTATTTTAATTGCAATGTTAGATGTCTGTACAGAGTTGGACAAACAACGTTATAAGTGAAATTAAATAAAGTGTTCAGCTTAGAAAACCTGCAACAATTCCTAATTTTAATTAAAATCAGATCAAAAGTTTGCACATACTGAGAGAAAACCGCTTCACCCTTGATGTAAGAGTATATATTGCGGCTGGATGCCCATATTTTGGTGGTGATGGAGAAAGAAGACCTTGGCCAGTGCCGCTCTACAGTAGTATAGGCTTCTGGCGAAGGCTGCGAAGCTATAGTGTATAGCTTCGCCAGAAGCCTGTACTAGTGTAGAGCGGCACTGCCTTGGCTCTATAAAACAGCCAACTTTACGTTGCGCATTATGCCGTAAAGCCGATGCAAACGCTCTACTTAGGCCTTTTTCAGTGTATCGAGTGAGGGCGGTTGAAACCACAAGAAGTGTTTGTTGCGGGGAGGGGGTTTCAAATGTTTCAAATGTATAGCGCGCTTAATGACGTTTCGGTTTTAATCAGATTCGTGTTATTACCCATGAATTACATACGTATTAGCAACAGCAACATTAATAACGCCCATGGTTGTGGTCCAACTTAGCAGCACAACAAACTAAAAAAACGAATGCGCCGAAATTTGTTAGACGTCACGGGGCGTTGATTCCAGGGGAGGGGGGAATTTTAATTCAAACGCCGAAATTGTTTATGCTCGGACGTTAAACCAGCAAACCATAGAGCCATCTAAATACAGATTTCTAAAATTCTGAAGCAAGGACGAGTTTTAACGCTGCTGAAGGAATATTTTATGAGTTTTGCTGTGATTGAGAGTTTTTAACGAATTAGCGAGATGAACATTACAGCCAGGAAAGGGCGACAGCTTATGCAATCCGTTGGCGGCGGCCGTATCCAGAGTTTTGAAGAAGTTGTCCGAACCTGGCTACGCCTTTCTACAGCACCACTGTGTACCCCATCGCGAACAGTGTCATCACTTCCTTCGGTGCCTTACAGCGATCACACTGCTCCTTGGTTACAACGGAGGCATCAGCATGGTCTGTTGCGTTCAGGCAGTTATCTAACATGGTAATCGCTATGTTCAAGTATTCTGGACCATGTGCCTGTCGCCTGTCCCAGGCGTCGTTGAGCAGCCCCGACCAAGATTCGACCTGCGCACTGGGCCAGGCACCCCGCGCAAACTTGAACAGCACAGCCTGTTCGGGATGGGTTCCACAGATGACCTTTTGGACGCAGGCAGCAGAGTAAAAGATATTCACCAAGAGCGGCGACGTGCAGCAGGGGTGGATGACCATGCTCGGTCTACCCTCGTCACAGTACGGTATAGCTGTCAATAAAGGCGTACTATTATAGTGTACCGTTTTAGACGTGACTTTGTAGTTAATCAGCTTGAATTCTAATTGAAGCCAGTGTTACTTAAAACTAGTTTAGTACCCTATAATCCTTTTTCCGTCATTCACTCAAACAACCGGTGTTCCAGCCACTTGTGTTGGCTGACCCACACAATCTTACGCTTAGAATTAGGTGGCTACGCGTTTAAGCGCTAACAAAATGTAGCGGAAATAAAAAATGTACTGTATAACTTATTAGTGAAATACACAAATGTGCGCATGTTTCATGGTGGAATTACGATGTCACTTCACTTACTTGTCCCTGGTTTCTTTGGATCACGAACATAGCCGGGTGTTTGGGTCCAGTTCCCGTCAAAATCATATAAATAGCTCTTGTCATTGATATCGTCCCTGTTGATCGTCTCCAACTTCGGTAATTCATCATTTGGCGATTTGCAAGTCTTCCAGAAACGGCTCAGAGCGTACATCTTATATTCACATGCCATTTCTCTGTAAATATCCGGGCAACACGCACAGTCCCTGTCGGGGGTACACGTAGCGTCCCTCGGCTTTTCCGAGCACGTTTCTGGAGAGCACATAGGCTTGACGGGGCGGGAACACTAAACAAGCAGAACGACCATACGGTCCATACCAACACTTTTCAGGCGATAAGTAAAAACGAAGCATCTTAAGCATTTTAGCTTGGATAGCTTATTCAGCGCTAAAATCGAATTTGTAGCTTTGGCACATGATGAAAGGCCTTTATTACAGCTGTGACTGGGAAGTATGCGGTCAGCAGGATCGAAAAAAACACTGCATCGGAAACTTAGTTGAGGAGGCAGTCATTCGTCCCGGAGTAATGAACAACAGCAGTACATAAGTCCGAAGTATAATAGCGTAAATAGCCTGCACTGTATGGGTAGACCTACAGTGTAACGACCTACAGTGTAACTGACATGGTACGTTGCATTGACAGCACTTCCGGATTCCGTTGATGCGGTACTCAGTTCGGCAATCTTCGGCTTATTACAGTCACTGTAATCTGTAGCCGCTATCTTCGTAAACAGTTCATCTCGTTCCGTGCGACTGAGCGAGCACTGCGAAAAGTACAAAGAATAACAAAAACCTGGTTCCGGAAAATTTGTCCCGTTTCCGGTTACTAGTGTAAGGAGGAGTGGCCTCTCCGTTCACCCGCGCACTGGCGGCTGCTAGGTTGTTTTGCTGTTTTTGCCGTGTTTTCTCCATCTACCAGATTCTAAATCTGGTAGATTCTTCAGTTGCTAGATTTCGTCGTCTGAGCTGGATGCTTTTCCCTTTTGGCCCCGCAGCAAGGTGCTGCGGAGGCCTTTGATGTGTTGTATGTGAGAGCGATAAAGTGTGCAGTGTGTTGGCGTTCAGTTTCCGTTTCTGTTCGCGCACAGGGGTGAACTAGCCGTTCATCCCCTGTTAGACTAGTATAAAGTGTCACCTCGTAAGAATATTCCATCAGCGTCGGGTCAGGAAAATCAGCGGGACAATATTAATCGAGTTTCCCGGAAATTTTCAATGTCAAAACGTTCGGCATAATGCCGAGGAATAGAAGAACTGTCAACGGCAACATCATTACTAGGCACAACAAGCTACTTTATCGTAACACCGATGTCTGAACCAGATTCCGGGCGGCTTAAATATGAATTATGCTAGCGGCTCTTGGTAAAGGGAGAAACCGGATTAAGGTGCCATTTCGAGTGGTCAGCAAAGTATTTTCTTTAAATTTTGCTCACTTTTTCCAGCTTTCTGGTTGGTTTCAGGTAATCTTGCACTTGAAATATGCACACGCGAGGACCCGACAAAAAACAGCCCACTTCACTTGGCTTTCGCTTGCTGATTTGTTGCATTTCTGTAAACGTTTCCACCACATGTTCTCTTAGCGATAATCCTGCGGTTTTATTCAGATAATGTTTAATAATTTTTAATTTTTGTTGACAGGTGTCGGATCAGAAGTCTGTAATTTGCCAGGATTTACAGTGGAAGGATGGAATAGTTAAATAAAAAACGACCGACGAGTTGCACGTTCTGGGTTGCGGTTTGTAAAGAATCTTCTTGCTGCCTCCAAATACCCGCAAGCACAGCAAAACAGAATTTGCAGAAATTGTACAACAGCAGTTACTTTGCTGTATCGTAGCAGATCGTTACAAAAATTTTCTTTCCCTTTTGGCTTTTTTTTCAGCAAAGTGATCGAGGTTTTGGCGACATACCGATTTGGTTTGACAGCAATGTGTGAGTACAAACTACTGGAATATATCACCAAATATAAATGTTGAAAACAAGTTGCTGATGCGCGAAGAGTGAAATGTTGACCAAACATACAGAACTTAACGTACTGTGAATGGGAAATTTCAATAAAATTGGATGCTGGCTGAATTACAGTATTATAGTGGGCGTATCACCAGGGGCTGCGAACTGCGAGAAGAGGCCCCGGTTCATTTTCTAAAAACTAAAGTGCAGATAGTGTAACTGTCGCCAGCTGCTCAAGTACTTAATCAATTTTTAACAATCGAAATCAATTCGTTGCACTTATGAAGCAATCGCAAGGCGAGCGTGAAGGTTCCGGTTTCTGGATCGTTGCGCAATATCTCGTTTGCAGCGTAGCTATACCGAAAACGAATGTCTTGATTACCTATTCAATTTACTACAACTTCGCTTTCCTGCGCACTGAAAAACGATTTTTCGTAATATTGCGTTGTTCTAGAGGACAAAATGATTTGTGCTACAGGTGGCCATTACAACCATTTGTACGCATCTACAAATAATTTCTAAAAGTCGGCATGCATCGGCAATATGAAGTTGTCCTCAAACAAACGGAGCACCCAGTGTTAAACAACAAAACCGATAAGAAATTACCTACACCGTACACACTCACAGTACGTACTGAGCCAAGATAAAGACTGCGCAGTCTGCATAACATCTGTTCTGTCTAACGCATGAAAGCAGCACAAAAGATTAAAGACCACTTATAAATGGCAATTCGCTTGGAACGCTATAACATACAGAAAGATTTTCTTAGCGCGTTTCGATAGTTAGCCCGTGCCTGAATCATGAAAACAAGATCTAGGTAGGTGAACTTCTAAATTATTCAGCCGGCCCGTCGATATTCTTGTTCGTCATGATGATTTTGTCCAGCGTTTATAACGTCTTCATACGTCGGTGGCGGCAGGCTGTGTAAAAGTGTCAGTTGAACGTGGCTTTCGCTGGGCGTCTCATTCGCCACCATCTCCACCCGGCATTCCTGCGCTGCATTCCCGACCATGCTCAACGCTTTGTCGATATGAGCAGCAGCAAAGCAGCGTACGTTGATCCTTAAAGCGCAGTAGGTAATGATTATTGTCAATAGGCCGAGGGCAATCGGAATAATGCGGTTTAGCCACATAATATCGTCCAGCACAAGTTCCTCCGGCAGAGAGAGCAGCCGTCCTATGATCATGAAAACCGCTATGATGCTAACTGTCAACACGGAGACGTTTAATACGATTCCAGCCAGGAACCAGGCCGTCGGTGATTTTCCGGAGCGGGATCGCATGATGGCGTGCTGGCCAATGATAGCGCTGCCGGGTTCAGTTATGCTTACATATTCGATCGCCCTTGCCAGAACAAAGCGGGAATATCGATAATCGCTATAACCTTCAACGATAAGAACTGATGGTTAATGAAGGCATTTTATATCTCTCTATATAGTATTTTATATCTATCTACCCGTAGAGACCTTCAAGTGGCCACCTATGTTAAGTCAATGGACGACATACCTTCAAGTGGCCAGGCATCAGTTATTTGGCCCCAGAACCGATTTTCTTCCCGTTTTTTGGTACAGCGTGTTCAGCTAAACTTGCTCTTCACAGAGTACTTGAAAATTTCCAAATCGGTTGAACCGTTTTTTAGTTATTTACGTTGAAAAAAACCAGTGACGAAACGCTTAAGCCACGCCACGAGAGCCACTACACTACGCCAGCTTATTTCACTTATCAACCACACATGTGCGGGTGCAGCAAGCACTCGCTTTATATGAGCGGATATGAGCACATTGTCGTACTGCTAATCGGTGTCTATTAACCTGTCAATTTTTATTTTCACTAACCTGTGATTTTTCACTTGCTCAATAATTTGTGATTTTTTTTGTTTTGATTTCTGTTTGTTTGGTAAATTTTAATGACTTTTTTAAGACATAGTTTGATCCCGGTTGCCTGTGTGCTCATATCCGCTCATATAAAGCGAGTGCTTGCTGCACCTGCACATGTGTAGTGGCTCTCGTGGCGTGGCTTAAGCGTTTCGTCACTGGTTTTTTTCAACGTAAATAACTAAAAAACGGTTCAACCGATTTGGAAATTTTCAAGTACTCTGTAAAGAGCAAGTTGAGCTGAACATACTGTACCAAAAAACGGGAAGAAAATCGGTTCTGGGGCCAAATAACTGATGTCTGGCCACTTGAAGGTACGTCGCCCATTGACTTAACATAGGTGGCCACTTGAAGGTCTCTACGAGTAGTATTGCCAATTTTTGCAATTGCAAGCGGCCAACCCGATTAACGGGACTTCAGTGTCTGGTCGGCACATAAGTAAACAACATAAGATTGTCAATGGATAAACATTACTAATTATATTGTTATATTATAGCAGCGAATATCTATGCAAATACAACGGGCAAACGCGATTTGTGTAATGGGTACGCTCCCCTATCAGGATAGCATAGAGGAAGGTTTTCTGTTATAATGACGTTCTGTTTTGGTACTAAGTTTGTACTTGTACTACGATACTTATTAAAGGTTCTCATTCCATTATTATTATTATTATTACGTTAAGAACAGACAACCGGATTCATGGGACGTTAAAATTTTTAAGGTTTTAAAATCGAAACTAGGCACCGCACATATCGATACGCAAATTATTACATAACGATGGTGTGATAATCGTTTTTGTATAATAATTATTACAAGCTGGTATCACCATTATTATTTCGCTACAGTCAAACAAGAATCTACATTTTTAATTTTAAATTAACTGAATTGGCTTAAATCATAGGAATTTAGATAGAGCCTATAATTATAACAAGGTAGGTACGATATCGAGAAAAATAAAAATTTTATGTGTTTTAAGGTAGTAGTGCTGAGTGCATGACGTCTTGTACGGCCAATTTGAAAACCCAAGAAAGCATCCATAAACTGTATCTCGTACAATTTAGTGAAATTGTGAATTTCTTACAGAACCCTTTCCACATAATCAAACAAGTCGCCAGGACTCCTAGTATAATCTGCACCACAGAGATCCGAGATAGCTGCTTGAGATCCCATGAAGTTAACCATTTTCTCTCCATGGCCAAACATTAAGAAATAATAAACAAACAGCCTTATTGAATTTTCTCCGTTCACGAACACAGCTTTTGCACTTTATGATGAAAAATTTTTGCTTGCGCTGATTTCGGCACGTAATGATATTTTACATGGAATGGTTTACGTTATCGTACTAATGATAATGATATGCCCATCCTGTTTGTGACGAATATGGCTGGTGTTTCTGCTATCAACATTTACACGGCGACCCGTAGTATCGATTGCTGATAACGTTTTCTGTCACGGTCAGTGTATGGAGGCAGGGAAATTTGCATATATGCGCGCTGTAAGAAAGAGTGTATGGCACATGTTCACATCCGTTCTGTTCTCCATTTTGTTTTTATTTGCTTCCAGTAATTTCAAAACCGAGCATTTTTTTAACTACTTCCAGCTTATGTATCGTTACTGATCTTATTCCAATTAATTTTTACGGCCGCTAAACTTTAGTATAAGGCTATTTCAATTAAAATGGAAAGTGAAATTAGGATTTCTGGATTGCCCCCATTTTGCGATATTTAATGAGCACCGAGTGGAGATGCATTGTGGATAACGTTTTCATCATTTGAATAGGATTGTACAATGTAGGACTAAATGGTCGCATAGCCCCATACCCAGCATTCTGTACGCAAGCGGTGCAGTGCACTTGTACGAAACGGATATTTTGAACTCAGTCGTACAGTGCACTGCGCTGCATTCGTACTGAATGTGGAGATGTTGGGTATGCGACCATTTTGTCCTAAGCTGTAAGTTTATGTGAGTACAGATAGTCGCCAAAAACAACCACGTGCATTTTACCGCAAACGTCCTATTATACGAGTATAGTTTCATTGAAATTGTCTATGCTTAAACAAGAGACACCACAGCTGCTCTATATCACATGCGCCATTTGCAAATTTGCGCATCAAACAAAATAAGGACAACGTGGCTGGCGGTAAACACAAGAGTCTCCAACCCAAAGTGTCGCTGACAACAGCACTTTTGGGTGATTGTTCGAACGTCATATTGCCAGCCGGAATTTCAAGTATGCGTACGCAGCGACATAATTATCCAGTTTATTGCTATACAGCAGCCCGTTGCACGTATACATACTGACAGCAGCAGCAGCAGCCGCATAGCTTCTGTCATTGCAGTTAAACGTTGCACAACTTGTTATTCACAATGCGCGTATCTGTCTTATCTTTATTTCTTGCTATCGGAAGCTGCTATAGCCAGTGTCCCAATGTGCCGATAAATCCACCAGGACAGCCCATCAGAGTGGAAGCCGTAAATAATTTTTTTTGAATTTCGTGATTATTGTTGTTTTATTCGGCAGATTAAGGAAAATCTTTATTTTTTTTAGACAGCGGGAATTTGGTATGAATACCATTTTCGTAACGGCCCAGACCCTGCCACAGATGAATCCGGCCAGAATGTTGTAATGAATGTGACCGTACGCGATGCCCTCCCTGGCGGTCGGCAGCCCAGTTACGTGGTGACGCGATATTACATGTTTCTATCGGATTCGGATCCCAAGAAAGCGGAGTGTGCGTCCATTAACCAGCTGGGCAACTGGACAGCGGATGGTGTGCGGCAGACGCTTTCGGATTTTGGAGATGGCACAATTGGTACTAGTACAGATTTCTAATTTTCTAATAATTTTTTTATACATATTATTATTTTATCTATTGCTTAATATGGTCTGGCATTGCACTTGCAACTTTTGCATTATTGCTGTCCTCTTTTACAGAGAACGTTACTTATATAAATCTTTTTACGGACTATAATCTGCTACAAATCTTGTACCGGTGCCAGACGAAGAATGCCGATGGAAAGCGCTGCGATCTCCCGTACATGTGGATCAACACCCGCGTGCCACCGCCTCAGCTGAAAGACTACCAGAAGCAATACATAGAAGCGGCTTCCAATTACTACTTGGGTCAGGTGTGCAGGAAATTCTCCGATACCAGCGCCACACCCTATGATGTTACGCTCACCAACAACTGCAACGTAGATCAAGGAAAACCGGCACCCAGTGCGAATTTCGCTGTCGAACTAAAAAAGTTTGGTATTAAATAAGCAGGTCATGCGCTGTCAACTATACGCAACTACGGCCAGTGCTTTTACTTGTCGGGCATGCGTTGTGCTTTGACCTATCACTCTGCTTGGTTTAAGTTGTAGCAAATGCATGTGGTTCCAGAGTTTGTTTCTTAAGCAGTTTTTGGCTGCACTGTTAACTGTCCGTTTGCTGCGAACCTTCAAATTTAGTGTAGAAACTGCTGGTGTTGCGCTTGAATAACACATTTCTCACGCACGAGAACCCGTCGTGAAACAAACGACCTGTAACGCGGAGCAAATTAAAAACAATCAATCCGCTACAATGTAACGTCCAGCGCTTCGTTTATTTGCGCTTGATTTAAGCAGAATACCGTGGTGAAATCCAGTACAAGCCCTGTGGCGTTTTATGCCGTAGACTACAACTGACCGATTCGCACATTACGTCAAGTCACATAGCACGTGGACTTTGGCGTGACCACGTGTAGATCCATGATGTAGCCTAGTGATTTATTGAATCCAGGCCTGTTTGAAGCTATGCCCTTGACGACGAATTGGAAGATCTTTTTACTGCTTAAGCACGCAGACGATAAATATCTCAGCTGATTTTTTTTAAATGAGTAAATATTTACTTTCAAGTCGGCAGTCGGCACTTGTTATTGATTCTGGATGGCTAATATCAATAAATATTATCTGAAGATGTTGGCATCAAATGTTTCGGTCCTGGGGATTACGTTGGCAGAAATAGCACTGAGAAAATCAAACTGAAAACGGTGCAAGTAGCCATTTGCGTAGCCAGAATAGCAATATCTACAATTTTTTGAGCGGCAGCGGATCTTTGTATTTGTGGGTGGGGCCACTTTGCTATCGAGGCGTCTTCCTTGTATACTTGTACCAATAATGCATTAATTTGTACATTGGACAAGTGCGGTAACGCAGACCTGCGGGTCCGATCATGCCATGATAATAGTGTAATCGTGCCGGTGATACCCATCACTTTTCCACTCAGTGTACAGAGAAAATGCGAACAACAGTACCGAAGTACTCTATCTGTAGTCAGTAGAAGCTGCCTGTGATTCGACACGGCCAGGCACGCTCGGCTTCCGGAAACAGCGACCACATTTTCCTCAAGCTTGATTTTATCATAACTGACGCCACTTCCTCGAAAAACAGCTTTATTTGCAACAGCGTCCTGGGCCATCGCTATTAAACGTCAGCGGTGTCTTGGAAAAAATTTTCTGTGTGTTGGAACTAAAATTCCGTCGACAACTTGTCAGCAACCAAGGCGTGCCTTTATTAAACCGTGAATTCTTCAGCAGACTGGATAATGGAGGCAGAAGATTGGAAATGGCAACTGGAAAACTTGCTCTGGGCTTTATATGGGGAAATACTACTGGGAATCGTGTCGGCCATCTACTTAGTGGTGCGATCATTATGTAAGAAATCGACAGTCTTATTTATCAAGATCAATACATTTATATTAGCCTGAGAGTCTCAATATGCTCTTTGCATTAATTTTATTGTGGGATTTTTATATCAATTTGTTTATTTTATAAAGCTTTAACTACAGACTTATTACTACAGGGGTCTTGACAACCCACAGCCTTACATGCATAACGCTATACATACAGGTGGGTATGCACTATGCAGTAACACATTTCGAAAGGCAGTGTATTTCATGCACCCTGTACTGAGCTGACAGGTCGAATTCATGCATATTTTTGCAAAAGGAGACTCGAAATAGTGACGCAAACTACGCAATAAAACGTTAGTTCTTACCTGCAAGCTCAGTTGCACCATGCATGCGTGCCTTTCATTCATTAATAACAGAATTTTATAAAATAAACTTAAGATTACAATAATGAGAAGCGTTAGGCGGAACCTATCGCGTGATTAAAATCGTGATCAGATATTGTGATTTGCAACACGCTTAACTCGGTTGCCTCAATAAAGAAGTCGAACCAGCAGTATGTGCTTTGTAATACGATGCCCGAGATTTACAATTCATCATGTACGACGATCGCGTCTGCAATTTCTTATCCTGAGAACAGGTATTGCATAATTTGCATTTATTGCAGTTTGGTGCTGCCAGCTCAATCTCTTCGCTGGACTTTCAAATGCGTACGAGGCGATTGCTGTAGCAATTTTACTCTGTACCGGCTGCTATGGACTGTACGCAATCTGGCGAGCCTGCCCCGGCCCAGCACGGACTACCATGTTCCTATGGACAATTGTACTGAACATCATCGTCCTGACAATGTTCAGCACCCTGGTGTGGTGGACTATATCTTGGGTGATGTGCATGTTTTTCCGTGGTGAGGCAAGCTCAGTGGACGCGACCATATGGATGCACGTCATAATTCCTCTTGCCCTCGGCACACTGAATATGGGGATCGCGGGCGGTGCTGCAAGGATCACCGTGGACTGTTATTCGGCCGCAGTGGAAGAGCAAGTAATCCTTACCGAGACCAACCGCTTGCGCGCTGCGACTGCTGAGCTAAAACGCGTAACGGAGACGGCGCGGGAGGTGACTGAAAAGATCCTTCAACGGCAGATTTTACCCAGTTCCCCACCTGCTTACGACGACATTAAGGCAGTAGAAATGTAATTCCGACCGTCCGATGCGAAAATACTGGCTGGGAAGTTGGAAACGATTTACTCCTTTATGATATATAAATCGTGTAATACAAACCGCTTTCCTTTTGGGGTGTTATTTTATTTGTAACCTTTGATGTGTGTTTAAACACACCCATAATTTCATCTGTTGAACCTTATCAACCGATGTTTGGCAAGTCTCTTGCTTTTATGTGCGTTGGAACTATTTACGAAAGCTCAGATTATTGGGTTAGGTTTTTCATCTATTATTAAAGCGTTCTAGTGTTATGATGTACCATTTTAGAAGCTAATGCTCCTCGCATCCCGTAATTAAGTCATCCCCATTCGACCGAAAAAAGAATTAACCGGCTTTATGCCCGCTGTGGTGCGCAATGGAGATCATACGGCGCTATGAGCGATTACTGTATATCATTACTACTGCTAAACAGGAGAAATTATTTATCTTGACTTTTTATTGCACGAATACATTTAGATTGGACGATGATAACAGCGGTCACAACGCGCCGTCAAATCGAGCTTCGCCGTCGGAACAAACCAAGTTCGGGATGGATTCAAAGATTGAAGGCGCTTAGTGAAGCGCAAACCTTCTATCGTTTCCTTTGGTAGCACTCGTTTTTCTGGGTCTTCTTCAGTTTTCAGCTCACAAGGCCGCTAAAAATTATCACGATTCGCATCCGTTGTTGTCAAAAAACAGTGCATATACATGTAGTAAAATCCCGGAAAAAAGTACCGCAGAAACGTCTACAGCGAAAATCAAGTCATAACATCCAAATGCCGCTAAATGCCAAATAATAAACATTTACACAACTGAGGGCGCGTTTTTCGGACCACGTCGAATAAATGCAAGATGGCGCCCACAGAAAGGTCAACCAATAGCTTGCCGAGGGGAGAGATGCGGATAAATCGGAAACATTCTATTCGCCAGCGTTTCTCTTGACTGCGTTAAGCAAAGTTAGCGATAGATCGCAAACTGCTATTGTCGGTCATCCACAGCTTGTTTAACCATGAATTCGAGATTGCCCTAGATTCTGTGAGCCCGTTCAAACGAGATTATTTGTCTCACATGATATTGCAGTGCAAAATAAATTTGCTTGTTCAGCAGTGTCCTTCATTACTCTGTACAAAAAAGATTCCAGCACAATATCATTAGTATTCCTTTCAATTCGTTGAATTTTGGAGCCATGGACAATCAGCCTGACGTGATCGTGAGAGAGATTACAACACGCGGGACGGTCCGCTTCACTCTGCAGTGGACGATCGAAAAACTTCAGTTTGCTGCGCAATAAGCCCGACTGTCTCTACACCGACGGGATGACCTTGAAGGAACTCGGAGCGGAGAGCGATCATCCAGCGCGCTGGCGCATTGCGATCAAACCGTGCTGCCGCAGCAATGTGATGGACGAAGAGGTCAAATCCCTGGGCGTGTTTCTGGCTCTGACGGATGATGACTGCACGAGATTCACGGGACAGCAGGAAATCAGCGCCGAGTTCGACTTAAGGTATGCAGCCAGTGGTCATTCAATTTAAACTGAAATGTACATGCTGTAATATCGTGTTTAAGCAGTATGGTTAATGATTCAGCGCTAATCTAGGCTGTTCATTTTTAATGTCGGATCTACGTGATTTGTCACTGCGCTAATTATAGTGTACATAGTGGCCATTATTCTATTCTTCCATTCGCGCCAGTTGCTCCACGTGAACAGTGCAAGTACCTCTACACGCTGAGCTTGTCGACAGGGTTGTATAGTTAACCAGCAAATATGTAGTTAATTAGCAAACAAATCGAAAAAGTTTTTAAAGTTCGTGAAAGCGACAGGGGTATAGACGAATTTGCCCATGTACCGGACTACAAATTTTCTCTTAATAATATTATGCATTTCTTTATAGTGTGTACTCGGGGAAGGCGACGTCTACCCTCCTGCAGAAGGGATCCACTAAAGCAACGTTCACGAAAAAACTTACCGAAGTCGGATTTGATAAGTTGGTTCTGCATACACAGCTGTTCGATGCCGAGGACAATTCCAAAACCTTGCGCGATGACTACATCACGATTACGGCCAATGTTCTCATGTACACCAAACCAAACATCGTCCGACTGCCGGAAACTGCAAACTCACTGAAACGCCGCCAGACATTCGCCGCCAACCATCTACAACGCCAGGCAAACCTTTTTGCGTCAGAAAAGCATGCCTTTGCTACGGATTTTATCCTGTACTCCAATGACGGCCAAGAATTCCGCACCAGTCGCTTTCTGCTGATGGCGCACTCGCCGGTCTTCGCTGCCATGCTGACGCACGATCTTCAGGAAAAGCAACAGTCTCTCTGCAAATTGGCAGACGTTGATCCGGAATGTGTGGAGATTCTGCTGGATTTCCTGTACGGCTGTGGCGTTGACAAGATCACCGCAGCCAATGCAGAGAAAGCGCTGATCATGGCGGATAAATACCAGATGGCAGATTTGCGACGAGCCTGCGAAGATGTCCTTCTGGACAGTGTTAACTCCGAGACTGCGGTGCGCTACTTGATTTTAGCTCATCAGCGCGGGCTGGACGTGTTGAAGGAGGTGGCGCTGGGAGTCATTCCGAAAAATATGAAGAACGTGCTGACGGCAAAAAACCTGGAGGAGGTGCTGCAGTCGCATCCGGATGTGGTGGAGCTGATTATGGAGCACTGCTCCAAGCGTATGCGAACGGCCAATGAATAGTGAATTCGGGTGCACTGGGATAACAATTACACCGTATTTTTCGTGCTATGTTTTGCCTTGTGTCAGGGTGTTTGTAGGCTGTTCTGAACCACATTACGTCATATACATGTATTTTGCCAGAGCATTTTATGCAAATTATCCTGGCTGCTTTTCTCCCCTAATATTTTGTCTTGTTTAGACGCATTACTTATTTACTCGTACTAAGCAATCTGATATCGTTCTAGCTCCAATTTTTTTTGTTTTTTTACCGTGTGCGGAGCCGCATATTTCTGAGCAGAATAAACGTATACGAATTCGGTAAAGAGACCGAATACCGGCATTTCCAATCCTTAAGTGTTGAGAGCTGCCCCTTGTTTGAACGTTTTGCACTTAGTTTATCTTGTTCGGCCAAAATAATTTTTATTTCGTGGAAAACTATTTATTCTTGGATTGTTTCCTGTCGTGTACGTTGCTTTCCTAGCAACTACTGTTTTACTTCACGAAGTGGCTATGCGCAGGAGTTTCGTACTGTGGTGCTGTACTGCGCAACGTACAAGTACGTTACATAGCAACCATAACAAAGTGCAACCGTACCGTACTGATTGCATGACAGAGGGTGGGATATGGTAAGTAAGTACGCTGGATGACAGCATTGCTTGATTGCATAGTTATCCTATAGTTTTTTTTTACCTTCCCTGAAATTTGTGTGGCCCCTGGGGGTCGGGGGGTGTTGGGGGTCCCATCGCTGTCTGATGTAATATCAGGATGCACAAAAAATGATTAGATTTTTCACCACATAATAATATGTGCATCGCACTACGGTACATGCGTTTTGATTTTTTTTACAAGTTTGCAGTGCACATTAATGCAAGCCATCTGATTAGGTACTGTACTGCGAACTACTAGAAACATTACTTACTACTAGCAGGCCCGACCGCTGGATTCCTACTGTCGGTACCTAGCAACATACTAGCGAATTTTAGATTTCACAAAACAAGCTCGACTTGCGGGTAGGAGTTGACGTTACGGGTTGATTTACGTCCGCTTGCGACGTAAGGCGCCGTAACCCAACGTCGTTGGCTGACGCGTAAAAACTATCTGCCTTACAAAAGGTGTCGGGGATCACTGGGTGCTGATGGTGCGGAAAGATGGTTAGCCGTTTATTTAGACTCTCCGCTGCAGGAGAAGCTCTCGGTAAGTACCAGTTCTGTCGGCACCACTGGTCAAGAAAGCCTTGAGATAAACCGGAAGCGAGGACACCGGCATTTTGCTTCCGTGCGTGCAGCAACAAAGGGATGGTCATAACTGTGGAGATCGCATTTGCTGCGGAGCTCAGCAAGTGAAGGTCCGAAGATGTTAAGTTCAATTTCACAAAATAAGGTCGCATTTTAGTGATCCATTAAGTGCCAATAAACTTTGCTTGGCGTTTTTTTTTCTGCCGATGGTGGCAGGAACAGAACTGAAAAAGAGCCGCTGGTGGCAACATTATAACAAATAAATTGAAAGGTGGTTGCAATGGCCAAAAGGGCGTGTCCGTGGTGATGAGAGACAATAGTCAAAGGACGTGTCTGTTTCATTAATTTTGAAAAAGGGGTGACAATAGTTAAAACAGCATGCAAGGGGGTGATAATAGCCATTTCCTTGAATTATTTATAAATGGTGTGCTCAAAATAGTGACGTATCCGAAAGGTATTATATCTGTACTCTCATATATTTAGTATTTTATTTAAGTATTATATTTAGTATTTTATATAGAATGTTTAGCAATTTGAACAATAAAAATAAGCACCGGCTTCGCGTGAAACTTGCAATTGTGTTGTTTTTTTGGCTCTGTACATGATACATCATTCTTGACCTTTAACTTTTACTAAAAGAAATTTGGAACCATTTCTACTAATTCTCAAGGAATTTTTGCTGGAAAAACGCTCGCTGGCTTCGCCTGAAAATTAACAATATTTTGATGTACAGTAATTGCCGAAAATTGTACTCTAATGTTTCTGCAGCGCAATATACTTCACCATCCATTAGGTTTTTTGATTCAAAGTGTTTCGTCCAAACGATTCAAATTTCCCTACCGCACTGCCCCACCGCGACGCTTGAAGGTGCAGTGGTGAATAATTTTTTTCGTATTTGATTTAAGTAAGTCTTTTAATGGAATTTTAAATATGGATAAGTATTCAGAGCATTATCTGTACTAATGCAGTTTCGGTATGGGGAATTTTTATTACAGCAGTTACCAAAAGAAACTGGTGTAAATACTTTAATGTCGATATACGTTTGCTGAGCGCTGATTCAATGCTTTAGGCTAGTAGAACATCCAGTATCTATGTGCACCATCTTTGCTCGTTATAAAAGCTGCTTTCTGCTTCTCCAAACATCAGTTGCACCACACTACGGTAGTTGTACCGTGTACAAAGGTTGACAAAGCAGAAAGCTCTGAAATATATTTTTAGGTCGATGGTGCGTGCACGGGAAAACACGGGTGTGCACGGAGTTCGGATACGGGCGTTGACTGTGCCGTCTGTGCGCACGGGTGTCTACGCGGATGTTGGCTGCGCGCACGGCTTTTTAAATTTGAACGTGTTGGCTGATTTGATATTCGAGTTTTCTTACTGTGGCTTTCAAGTAATTCACAGTGCTGCACTAATAAGCATTAGCTGGCAACACAGTACTTTTGAAATACTTACTATACGACAAAACTTGCAGTGCCCCGGTTCTGCGACAAGAATTGTTTTATGTATGTCAGACATCGTCGGAGCACAACATGCCGTATTTAAAACGGAATTTTTCATTATACTTATGAGTAATGCAGGCCGTTTTAATGCACATTTTTGCTTTTAAAATGCACGAACATTTTTTTTCGAACGGAACCGGGTACTGCTGCGTAACTGTATTTTTGTTAAAAAAAATATGGATTTTGTGAAAAGTTTGTGTAGTAATTTATTTAAAAAAACTGCGAAATAAAACGATACAATATAAGAAGTTGAATTATTAGTAAATAAATTTCAAATAAATAAATTTAAAACTAAATAAATCACTGGTGCACGCAGCCAACGCTTGTTTCCAAACCCCGTGCCCACAGTCAACACCCGTGCGGACCCGAGAAGGTCACCCGTGTTCATCCGTGCACGCGACCATAATGTAATTTTAAATATTTGTTCTGTATATTATCTCGAACTTTTGGGCAACCTTTGTTTTATTTCCTCTATTTTTTTACATATTTAATTTTTTGAAGTTTTCAATCTGTATTTTTTATGGTCAGTGCTATGCGCTAAGAAAATTCCTAGCGCTTAGCACCATAGCACTTTCAATTTTTTAAATCATCGCGAGAGTACTGGCTGGTGTTTTCGGCTTAACTGTATGGCTGAAATCATTGCTGCCCTAAAAGAAGTTTTCAGTCGTACAGATATGCTGAAAACACCAGCTTAGCTGTACGTGTTTAAGAAACCTTACTGACCTTCATATCCAAAAAAAGAAGTCTAACGTGTTTGTCGTTCAGTGCTCTTGTGAAATACGGCAGTTGTCATGGAAATACTTACATCCAAATGATCCAGCTACTGTATCTGTACAATACTACGTGCACTGCTCTGTAACTTGTGAATTGGTACATTACCGTCATTACGATTTACGCGTATGCTAATAAGTGTTTTGCTTCAACGGCGCTTTGGCAGCTGTAGCGCAGGTAGAATTGCGACGGCAACTTTTTGTAGGGTCTAATAACCGGGAGATTCTCATCCAGCTGAACTTTCAGATTGCCAAAAAGGCAGACACGGAATTCATAAAAATTAAAATAATCTACAAACAAATTGAAAGTTGAGTAGCCGTGCGCAGGAGGGCCTGTTCATGCAAATGACCAGGGCTATGCATCACATGCTCCCGGCTCCGGAAAAATTCTTTTTAGCAGGAAGACGGGGTACACCTTGGTGTACCTAAAAAATATTTTCATCGTCCATAGTTAAGTGGGCGTGGCTAAATTTATTCCAATGGGATTAATACTTGCAGCACTATGTATTGGGAATATCGTAACAGCGCCCAGGGTGGCGCAAAATGACGCTAAATGGACACGAACAGGGCAGCGTACAAAGTCAGACAGTCAGCGGTTGACAAGAAATACGTGTTATCAGTAGCCCGATCCTTTTTAATTCCATTAAAAATTACTGATGTTAATAATCAAGAAAAATCAGAAAAATTGTGAAGCTAGTGGGTAGCGATAACGCGTTATTGTACTCGTATTTGTGCCAACGTGTATATGATACTCTATGGCGGGACGTTTTTCCATTTTCCAATCAGCTAGTACTGCATATACAGCAATTCTTATCGGTGATTTACTTAACAGTAGTAAGTTTTACAACATTTGTCAAAAAGATCTGAACACGAATCTGTGAAAACATGACATTTTACGGTACAGTATTACGGTATTCCCTTAATAAATATAATAATAAATATATTAATAGCACTGCGTGACAGTACGTGTATTCCCATTGGAATTTTTTTTTGCCACGCCCGCTCAACCACATGGCCGATGAAAATTTTTTTTAAGTGTTCCCAAGGGATACTTTGTCGTCCTGCAAAAAAACAAATTTTCGGAGCCGGGAGTAGCGAAAGTGCTTCGGTTCGTTGATAATGTGGAAGGACCCGTATATGTATATAAAAAACTACCTACTACCTAGTGATGTACTGTATACCGATGCTGGCTGGCACCAAAATTAAATTATTATTAATACTCCTGTTATTGTATATTGTAAATATTATCATTAAATTTCCTGTTTTTTTAACGGTCTCATTTTGTATTAACAAATCCCTATACGAAGTACTCGGTCAAAATTTTTTTGAACTGTCTTTTTTATAATAAATCTTTAAATTTTGAGATTTTAAAATCTTAGGTAATTCACATAATAATTTAGGTTTTCAGTGATGTTTTACAATAATTTTATCTCTAGCGTTGGGTTAAGTACATCAGGCTTTCCAGCCGATAATAGGACGATTCGGCAAATCGGGATTGGGCCCGGTACGTAGCACCAAACTCGTGCACATTCACAGGAGCTTTCGCTGTCGCGCACTACCTAAGACTTTTTTGCATTGCTTGATGTCATCTGGCAGCCCAAGGACCAAAGTGTACCAAAAGCGACTTT